TCCGCCATGAAGTACGAACTGGGAAATTGAAGAAAATTCTTGCAGTATGCGGTACCTGTAGAATTTTTGACTGATTCAAATTTATATATTATTGCGGTCGGAATACTTTACAGAAATAAGGTGAAACTTACTTCCCTACGTGGGCGTTCCAATTCAACAGTTGACTGATACTGAAACGAGTAGTTGAAGTTGTTAAGAATCTGATCTTAAACACCCAGTCTGTTTCCCCGAAACGAACATTCGGTAACGAAGATCCAACGTAATTACATCTTGCAAATTTAAAGTTTATCGTTAATTTGAACGATAAATTATCAAATTAAATTTTTCGTTGAGTAGACTTAGATAATATAATATAATCTATAACCTTAATCTATTTTTGGGCGAACAAATTATTATTATAATTAAAAACGAATAAGAAACATAGTAAGAAATGTGCGGAGTTTCGATTGAAATTTCATATTGCTTTGAATTAGAGTAGGCCCCCTGATCTATGAATTTACTTTTTACAGTCTATCTGGCTGCCCATTAGACCAACGGAGTTCTTACAAATGTTGACCAAATTACAGTACATAGTATTTAATTATCTATAAGCTTACTAGAGTGAATTTTACATGAAAAAATCCATTCCCAGGTAACAGACAGGACTCAAACTTGCGCTTCCCGCAATCCGGGCCTGTGCACTAACCAAAAAAATTATAGGCATTTTTAGAAGTTATTATTTAAAAGGAATCTAATTTAGTATGTGCGATAAAAGTAAACAGCTCACGATTGTATACCACCATAATCCAAATAGTGTCAATTACCAAGATGGCCAATTTCTTCGTCAGCGCCATATCTTACAAGGGCGGAATAGATCGGCGGCCATTACGCTACGCGCGCCCGTCCGACGCCATGATCCGCGACGGGCCCACCTGAGACAAAGGTTGCCAGATCGAAAATTTCTTTCTTAATTTTTATATTAAATAAAAGGCAACCGTTACTGACTGACTGATTTATCAAAGCGCAGCTCTAACCACTGAACGGATTGTGCTAAAATTTGGCACACATATCGACAGTGAAAAGGCAAAATCGCTTATACGCCACTTTGGTCGAAAATGAGTTTTATATCATATCATTTTAATCATTAATTATAAGATACTTTTTTTCTGCGTCGATCTGTTTATATTTCGTGAAGATTTGAGTACTTTTTTGGCGTTTAAGCAACTCAATTAAAAAAAAATCCAGGATTCGAATTCGATTCAAGAATTTTGCTGTCAGGAGGAATAGAAAGTGGAAAAGTAGGCGCATATAGTGTATGAGCCCCACGTCTGGTGTACCATTTTCAAATAGCAATGTGTGGCAGGCTAAATGATGAGTGTAGGTATCGTCATGTTTGTTTATCGAGAGATTTCGTTATTTGTCGGGAGTCTCGACATTACCTGAAATGTCGGGAGAATAAAGACGATTCCCGATCATCTGGTAACACCTGAGGCCCGCTGCGCTAACAAGGCAGTCATCTAATTTATACCCTTTATTTATTCTTCGACAGTGCCGGTTGAGTTTAATCACTGCAATCCAATCTGTTTGTTTGATGAACTGTTGCGCACGGAAATGAAACCTTTTAGCTATCACTGTTTCGTGAATAGCTCAGGTTAAAAAAAATGTTATTGTATTGGTGTCGAGTAAGCAAATACATAAAAATCTTTTTTTATCCAGTTTTTTTTTATAAACGGAATAAAACAATCCTATGGTTTGCCTCCTACTCTAGAAACTAAAACAGGTGCGCTAAAATAATAAAGATTAGAAATTATTAAAAGTAAAATAATACGATTACTAAAAATAGGAAAACAACAAAGAAATTAGCAGTGATTGATTAAGCAATTTAATAGCAACTGTACCCTATTTAGTCTCGAAGCATAAAATAAGGAAGTTTGCCTGTTGAATATTTTCTTCCTGAATGTATCAAGACAAAAGTTGGGGATAAACAATTAGAGAAAAGTTTCTCTGAAGCGGGTCTTGATAAACAGGACGAAATATTGCAAGCGGACGGCATAATGGCGCAGAGTGGTTCGGTTCGTTGCGGTGCGAAACGGTACCAAGCCACAATGCTCCTGACTTTTCGTATGTTCATAGCATTACAATGCGCGGAATTCGCACTTAATTAATTAATACAGAGTTAACTGAGGGTCACCGCTCGCCACCCTTTCATTGTCCTGGATTCGCGACGATTGTTTTGAATATGCTTCGAGAGGTGCCGTAATGAAACCGGCACGAGTTTTCTATTTAGCACCAAACTTTCGCGTCGTGAGTCTTCTCGTTAAGTTTACTCCGCTGGAAATTATTACCGTCGAGCGTGGGTAGACGTAAATTTTTTACGGTTTGATTTTTCAGCACAGTTTTAAGATACGAGTGCATCGGGCAAATAAGATTGGAAATTGCTGGCTCGGGGCGCGCCCATAACTCCGGATCTTTGAGCGGCCCATAAATCATTACGCCCCTGATGCACGTTTGAATGTTGGGGGCGATACTATCTAAAGCATAGTCGACGCCGGTATAAGCACAAACGTTTGAATATTAGATGAGTGCCGTAAACAATGCAGTTATTGCGCTGTAAACCTAGCTGTCGTTAAAGGGGGTGGGAAAAAAACGGGGTCATAAACAGTGCAGATATGAGGAGCGTTGATTTACTGCAACGTTAGTAGGAAGTGGAACAAAAGTTATCGCGTGGCGGGACCGGGTGGCCGGCCAGGAAGGCGCGTCCGGTTATTCAGGGACTTGTTCGCGACGCAAATTTCAATAAATTCTAATATCGTCCGCGTCGCAAGAGCGCGTACTTCCATCCTAACTCACATGAAATGTTGGAAATATGTGGCGTGAATTTTGCGAATACTTCCAATAGGGAAGATGCTTGTAGGAATTTGTAGTTTTCTTGATAGAATCTTTTACTCCTGCAGTTAACGTAAACTGCACTAGAGAACTATTTTAGCAAAAATCACGTTGACGGAAGCACTTAACGTGCCAGTTATATATTTTCTCAATCTGGTTGAAAATTTGCATTCAAAGTAGAATACTTATAACAAACTTGCTAATTGGAAAAAATAATTTTTCTATAAGCCCATAATGGACTCCATTACGTACATTTATTTTCGCCTGTTTCATATTTCTGGTGTTTGGTGTGTTCTTGTAAAATTTAAAATCATTTGATATAGGCATATATTATAAATCAGTCGATAAAGACGACGGTGTTTTTTTAATTGTTTGCTCTACATTTCTTTTTGTATACTACACACATCCAATAAGTCTAAACAACATGCATCATTTACGCAAACTGCAAGTTTTATGAGTTAGTATTTTGTATTATCGTTATGAAATGTATAATTTATTCAAATGTTTCTTTGCTTAAGTCCCTAAAAATGAAATTGGTTATTAATAACAAAACAATTTAAGTTTTTAAAATATAAAATTAGTAATATTTATTAAGGAAAACTAACCGCAAACTTCCAGGCGGAATGAATTAGCATTACCAGAGCAGCACAGGCGGTTGCAGCCAGAGATATCAGAGAGTTTAACATTAAAATCTACTCTGAAAATGCATCCGTGCTTCTAGCCCTACGTAGCAATACAATAAACTCTGTTCTGGAAATGGAGTGCTAAAATTGATTTTGATTCATGCGGTAACCAACACGGTAACTCTGCTACGGATAAAAAGACACAGCAACTCAACTGGGAATGATGCAGCAGACGAACTGGCTAAGAGAGCAGCAGACGTAAAAGTGAATTTGGGCCTGAGGTATGGTCCGGGACCTCTTCTGCCCATACCTCAGGCCCAAATTCAAACATGGCTGCATGAAAAAACTCAGAAATCACACTTGACAATGTGAAAAACAGGTGAAAGATGTCGGCAAACGGAAAAGGCAATCCAGCGGCAAATAAGATACTTGCCTGCACCTTTACCAGACTTAATAGGGACGAACTCGGCATAATTATAGGAACCCTGACTCATCATTGTCCCCCAAACAAACACCTATATACAATTGGAGTAACAGACAGCACCCTATGCAGAGGATCCGTGGAGGCAGAAGAAACGCCACAGCATGTCATCATGGAATGCGTGGCTATCCACAACCGTCCGTTTTTGTCGAAATTTTTTACCACGTACGACAAAACTGTGGAATATGTTGTCGCCAGCAGTGTTTACGGACCAATACGACCCAAGAACCTTCAATAAAAGAGAGTACTCCTTCCTTAAAGGCCGGCATCGCATTTGTGATACTCCTGGTGTTGCAAGTGTCCATGGGCGACGGTGATCACTTACCATCAGGTGAGCCGTCTGCTCGTATGCCCCCTACAACATAAAAAAAAAATGCAGGAATGTGGCCGACCAATGTGCACTTCTCCAGTCGCCAGAATCGTTTCCAGAAGCTTGCAGCAGTCTGCCAAAGCTTCTTTCTTTTTGGATTAACTTAGGCTGGCTAGAGTAAACGGGAATATTTCGAGATACACACAATGGTCCAGTAATTAGTACTAAGTACGAAACCCACCCTGAAAAAGTAACTAACTTATATTTATAATGGGAAAGTATGCCTGACAGACTGTAAAGAGATAGTTTGAATCCCGGCTAATTTATTATTTCTGATAGTGACAATGACAGCGTTACAAGTCCTCTAATCAGCAGCTATAACTTTACATTGTCAATAGTGTATAGATACGAATCCGGAATATTATGGTTGTAAATTTTAAGATCCTAATCATTGCATAGTCCAGGATCTAGATCGCCGATCGTCACTTAACATTAGCACCCTTAATACAAACCAATACCAAATTCGAATAATTGAATTCGATCTCGATACGTATCAAATATTAAGAAGTTTTGTATGGTTTTGTATTTCAATAGCGCCATAATTTTAACGGACGTAACTAAAATTAAATTTCTTCCATACTATTGGATATTGGTTCATACTAAGGCACAGGTGGGTGTTTTCAGTTCGGACCTAAAAAGATTTAGTTTCCATAGTACTTACATTTTACCCTGAAATGGAGCTCGTTGGAGACGGTCTCCCCCTCTGCGTTGAGAGCGGAGCAGGCGTACCGGCCGCTGCTGTGCCTCGTGACCTTCTGCAGCACCAGGCTCTGGTTGCTGTGGAACACGCGCGCCGTCGCATTGTGTGCCAAGGGCCGATCCTGCGTACAAAACTTTTTATTGTAGGTACATGATCATTTGCAAAATAAAATTTTAATACAATAATATTAGAGATACCTATTTTTTCAATGTAAAATTTGGTTAAATTAATATGTTTAATATAAAATCGGCGTTGTCACATCTAACCACTTCTGGCGTCCGGCTTATAAAAATTCGGAAATTGAAATTTTTACTTCTTGAACGAATAAATCTCATATTATGAAACTGTTGAGGTTTATTCGTTTATTTGTTCAATACACATATAATGATATTTGAAGTATCAAATATGTATTAATATTATTTGGACCTTATTTGAAATAGAATAAATGAGTAATTAAATATACGCACCGATTTGGGAACCTTCTTTTTTTCGTCGGTTAAAAATTACAAATATGATAGACACAGTATTAAATAAATAGGAACCGACTGTGTGTTATTTACAATCAAAAGTATTCTATCTTAAATTAGGTTACCTGTAATAAATTATTTCATTCATGTTAACTTCTTATTAGCCTAGTCAAGCTGTACCGAGTCGTAGATACGGAAACTGAGTAATATTGACACACATTGTCTCTTTTGTGTGCTAAGTTATGTAAACTGACACAACGAAGCTTGCCATACGCTATACAAGTTCGATATGACTAATTTTGGCTTGTTATTTTAAACGCCAGTATATAAATTGGAGGAGATAAATATAACATCGGTCAGAATATCTTATTAGCTGGCATAACCAATTAACAAATTGGATAGAATAGAAATTGTTTCTAATTGTTATGTACCTTAAAATAGAATTTGTTTAAAATGTGAGAGTAACTAAAGTTTCCATGTAATTAAACACAAAAATTACAAACATGAAGTAATAAATAATAATAATCTCGTTAGCCCAGGAGCTCTAGTGGTGACTCGGGGACGATTACAAGAATATATATTTATACAAAAGGACCCTCGTATTAACCGTGTCCGTCCGCGCAGGCCTCTCCAACGGACAAAGGCACTCGTTACGTCCTGGAGGACTGATTATTTCTGCTTCTAACAAAGACATTTCTTATTATCGAACATATACCTATATATATATATACATGATTTCACTCGTAGAGCTATTGAACAGTATATTTTACGAGACACAAATACAGTATGAGAAGATAATCTACTTGTTGATGATAAAAGAAAAATGAGTGATGATTAAAATAAACGTAACTCAAAAGTTTATTAACGTTCAGGAATACTTTTGAATATACCCATGACCGTGAGCAAAGCAGGTTGTTTGTGTGAACGAACGTACCTATTCGGTAGCGGGGCGGTTGTTTGTGCGGTCGGGTTGAGTAGTAAACAAGGCGCCATCAATCTTACGAGGGACATAACAGGTGAGCTGGACGTTTCATTACTCGGTTGCTGAGACGGTGGAGCACGACCAGTTTTATAATAGTCTCACCTGTTTACCTGTTTAAAAGATCGCTCGCGAAGATTCGATACCGAGATGTTTCCAGGAACCCCATTGTAACATTTACGTCCTTGTAATTTTCTGCTACGTTTAGTTTGCTGATGACAACGATAAGTATTGCGTCTACGAATAAATACAGGGATAAATTCTAAGAATGCTGTCATTGAAATTTATAATCAGGCATCAGATATTCAAATAAGATAAACGAATTCTAAACTCCTTAAAAATAATGGGGTATGTAGATATCTAGATATCACTGGGTTATGTTATGCAAATTAGTTATACGTTTCTCTGACGATATAGGGTTATCTCAACAGTGGAGTTAAAATCGACTATAACCAAGATCCCTTTGTGAAGTAATTAGTGTAATTTTGGCGCGTCTCTGTGAGATGTGGCTTCGCTTTGATTAGGATCGAGCAAACAGGGCTGCTCCCTTCGGCGGTGCCTGTCACGTCGCCATTGTACCAAGCCGATTAATGTGCATGGTCGATTAATGCTGAGTAGATGAAGTGCCTTTGACATGACTACATAATCAATAAAATATATTTCGACTGAAAATACAGGCATGGAAAATATTTAGGCCAAACAGGTAATTGTAAAATTCCAATCTAAATGTGAAGGTTATCCAATCAGATAAATTATTTGTTTAATATCTAAAGCTTTATGTGACCCCATTGTTTTCGAAGAATGATAATAGACGGGATTGCTTCGGTTTGTTTAATGTTTTATTTGCGCTCCGACGGCTCTCGTTAAAAAAGGTCTGCTAGCGCTCTAATTGTCGGGGCTGGGCTGAATGAGACCCTTTGCATATTTTCTCCTTGTGCTCCCTAATGAGACACTTTGAGCTTGTGTGATTGCCGAACCCCTAGACATGGTACGGTCCGTTGTTCCCGCGATCGACGTTTACAGGTGCGGCGACAGGTGATTTTCTCATCGCCACTAACGGAAACGTCCCGAAATCGTAGAATCAATCCCACATGAAAGGAGTGCGAGTGATTCAATCAAGGATGTCCATTATGAGCGCGACGAGTTTCATTGGAGCACAATCTCGCGGATGATCACGAGGGGGTCGCGAGGGAACCTCCTCCCCCCCCCCTTGTTCCACCTTCACCCCGCGCTCACCTCAGGAAATAGCTGCCATTAACGAATAAAGAGAGAGAATTTTCCACCTGATAACACTGTTTGCTTATGTTCTCTACGAGAGAGGTATTCACGTCCGTACCGTTATTGGATTCAATATGAGTATTTCTTTGTGCGCCGAGCGTCTCACTTGAAACAATAGCTTCTTGTGCTAAAAAGAAGTCATTATTTTAGCAGCAGGTACTTTTGTTCAATTTTCTACCTGTTTGACAAGATCAAGTTGAACTAAGGACGCTCACAAATTCTCATATTGTATAATAGTGTCTAGGTAACATCAAAAAGTGTGAACTAAGGATCCATGAAAGAACCTGTTTTAATTTACACCTAACGATTCTGAAGCCACTTAAACTCTTTGAGCATACAATATAGAACAGTCAGTTATCGAAATAAATTTCAATAGCGGCAGCAGTACATTTATTGAAGACGATAGGGGGCATAACATTGGATTATATTAGATAAGTTACCCGCTCAACGAAAGCCAATTACGACTACTGTCATAACAATTTAGATTAAATTCGTAGCTTCATCCAGTCTGGAATTGGAATTATTCCGGTGTATCGGAAGCAAGGGCTTTAAGATATTAAGCACGACCGTTCACGTGCCGCAGCCATTCTACTATATTCAGTCATTATAAATTTATCGGCGGAGGTAAGTACTTTTGTGGGATATTTCCTATCATTGTCTCAGCGGTCTAGAGGATGGGGCGATTATCGTACGTACGAGCATCTTATATAATCTATTTTATTTGTATTATGAGTCGGTTCGCGGTTAGGTCGGCGATAAAATCTACCTTGCATGGGAGGAGCGCGGCAGCTGCCCGCTAAGCGGCAGACATAAGTCATCGGCCCCGACCCGCCTGAGTAATTGTTCAGATTATAATATATATATAAATTTCACCCTAATTTATGATAGCTTAAGACGCGAAATTTATGCGGCGTCTTATTATTCTGACAGCTCATTCGCGAGTGTTTGATGGTGGCGGGCAATAATATAAATATCATTGGTGGCGGGTGTGTTTGTGGACGCCACTCGCGGATTAATTGATGGCTCTAATTTGGAATGTGTTGGCGGTAACAAAGCGACCCTGATATGGGGATGCGGAAGCGTGATGCGACACCTGACACATTCGAGCTCTGTTCGATGTACCCCAAACGAGATCGTGTTCAATTTGTTAGCCAGAATAATTTACTAGCGGACCTTGCAGATTAAATTTCATGTGCTTATAACAATTTATCAAATACAAACTATTCAGTTACAATATTGAAGGTACATTTCAGACAGAGAAAAGTTTATTTATCTCACTTTCCATAGTAGCAGGTTGGTTTTTAAGCGGGCTGTGTTTTAAGCTATCTTTATGAAAAAACATACTAAACATTTCGTTAATGTTATAATAATAAACTTTGAACAGTAAATAATAAGAAAAAATACCCTCTCAATCGGGTTGTGAAACGCTCATTAGTCGATAAAGTTTAAAATTGTATATGATACTTATGCTATGTATAATATACTCTACTGTTTCGGATCCTTTACTAGTATCCCGGGAAACATCTATGATAGAAATAAGAATTGTCAAAATAGTCTTGGTAATTTATAAAAATCATAGTTTAACAATTAAATTGTTTCATAAAGTAGCCAGAAAATAAAAATATCCTGGAAACACACTGAATCTCCTTAAGGCTTCCCATCAGATGCCTCTTATTGTTCACCACAACAGAGGGCACAGAAAAACAAATAAAAGATCCACGCGTCTAATAACATTCCTCGCGTGGTGTGGTGGTCGTGCAGCCCTGCATCAGGCAGTGATAATATGCAAATGTCAGACTCGCTAGGAAGTCAGGGCACGCGCTTCCCTTTCTGAATTTAATATTTTTCTTGTTTGACGACTGTGCGACTGCGGAATACGAATTAAACAGGAGTAGACATCCGAATGGCCCTACTCAAGTTCAAAAACATTTTTATTCACTTTGATTGCGTGGCGTGTTTTGAAGTGAGGTTGGCCGTTCGACCTCGTCTTGCCTCTTTGAATGGAAACTGTTTCATGATTCAGAGGTAAATCATTGTTAGTTGATCTTGCTGATTACGCCTCCCATCTACATTTTGGAATCTCGTAGTATTTTTTTGTTCATGTTTTATTTTTTCCAAGTCTATACTAATAGATAGTTTTCGATGGGTAGTTTCAGAATCTGTAGCAGATAAGTTACTGGAAACAAGTAACTAATATTTCAGTATAATATCCAAACCTAATACATGTAGTGTCATGTTAATGTGAACCTGTTTTGTATCTTCGGTACGAAGTTGAGTACTTATGCAATCATTAATTTACGTCGTTTATGTTTACTTCATTTAGAAAGTAATAATATACCTGTACTGTTAACCACCCCGAATAAATTGTGTTCATTCGTGACAAGGGTCCGCGCTCAA